CCAACGTCCAAGGTCCTGGCACGTCACCAGGTGGCCTCCTTGGTCAGTGCTTCCTCCTTTCCTGAAAAACCACGAGAGACATATCCAGTGACCAGCTCCAACTGAGGCACAGCCATATAGGGAAAGCCCATCAGAAACTGCTATAACTTTGCAGTTTCTCTGCATTTGGGAATGATCCAAGCCTCCTGGACTTGAATTGAAACCAAGCAGGTTCTCTACATATGGTGAGAAATTTAGCTCACTGCTGAGTGCTCAAGGCCACTCTGCCTATGACGATTGTTCCAAAGGAAGTGGCCTTGGATAAGCGGCCATGCAGAAGGGATCTTCAGAGTCTCCGGCAGGCAGTCGGATGACAGGGGAGCTATGCCAAGGCTTCCCAGGGGGAGGGTGTCCAGAATGGCTACTGTTTCCAGCTAAGATAATATCAAAGCACATGCTCCCATTGGCAGAGTCCTTGACAGTCTTGTCAGCAGCACAGATCACAGCCGTTCTCTCTTTCTGTACTCTGACAGTTCTATGAGGCCAACAAGGCAGCTTTTACATCAGCTTTTGCAGAGGAACCACATCCAGCAGGCTTGAGGTGTTCAAGTGACTTGCCGAAGACCACAGAGCTGGTTAGGACGGGGGCTGCAGAGGACACCCAGCTTCCCAATTGCTGTGCCAGTGTCTGCCTCCTAAAGCCCACCTCCTCTCCTGAGCATAAGGGCAACACTCACTGGGGAAGATAATCCAAGAGAAAATAATAATAATATACCAAAGGAACAGAGGGACCGTGGGAGGAGTCATCTCTTCTATTCTGGATAAGTGGGGTCATTTCTGCTCCCGTGTACACACTCTCGTCCCCTTTAAGACATATTTATGATTATTCTACATGGTTACCATATAACTGCTAAAAGTAAATAACAGCTAGACAAATATTTTTCCTTTCTAGAATAATCACCAGGGTCTAATCTGGTTACTGGATTGCATTTTCCCCCTCATATGAGACTGTGGATCCATAACGTACATTTCTGGTGAACTCAGACTGAAAAGAACAGAACAAGGAAATACACTATAGAAATATGGGATTTCTAACACATCACAGGTGTCTTTTTTTGTTTTAGAAAGCGTCTCACTCTGTCACCCAGGCTGGAGTGCAGTGGTACAATCACGGCTCACTGCAGCTTCGACCTCTGGAGCTCAAGTGATCCATCTCAGCCTTCTGAGTAGCTGAGATTACAGGTGTGTGCCACCGTGCCTGGATAATTTTTGAATTTTTGTAGAGATAGGGCTTGCTATGTCACCCAGGCTGGCCTCAAACTTCTGAACTCAAATAATCTCCCAGGCTTGATCTCCTAAATGGATGCGATTACAGGTATGAGTCACTATGCTGGCCACAGGTGTCTTTAAAGACATCAAACAGTGCCTGGTGTTGTAATCTACAGGGGGAAATGCAAGAGCAAAATAATACAAGTATTGATACATACTAGCAAAATCTGTATTTATCTTTACATGTACTAAAGGAACTTACAGGATCAGAAGGTAAAAACATCGACAAAACCATATGGCGGGTGAAAGGAGGTGGGACATGAAAACTAGAGATTTGCATACTTTTTACTTGTTTCCCAGTGAAACATAATATTGAGGTTTGCTACTCTGATACAGAAATTTTTCAGTAACAAGTTCAGAAATTCTGCCTGAAGTGAACTGTCAATGGTTTAGCATGGGACAGGAAAAAGAAAGAGAAAGCCACAATTAACACTAGCTGCAATTACTTTTGCATGAACCTTAATAACAAATCTTAGTGGATGGATTATTCCATAGTAGATGAGCACGTATCAAAAGCAGAAGCGGGTTTCTTAGTCCTATCAACTGATTGAGAATTCCTACAATGAATGTCTTTTAGTCAATCAACAGCAGCTATAAGACATTTTAAAGTATGCACAATTACTAAAATAATTATGTTATTAGGTATCTACATTAAAATAAGAAATGTGCTGCCCTTGAAGAGGGGATGGCTTTTTTATATATATATATTTATATTTATATATATATATATATATATTTATATATATATATGTATATTTATGATTGCATTTTAGGTTTTGGGGTACATGTGAAGAACATGCAGGATTGTTGCATAGGTACATACATGGCAATGTGGTTTGCTGCCTTCCTCCCCATCACCTATATTTGGTTTTTCTTTTTTAACCAAATTCTGCTACTACAATATGAAACTCTCCCACCTAGGAAATGCTCAACAAGATCTTATCACCTTTAACTACTAAGACATTTTGGCAGCCAAAATACAAGAGTCCTAATTCTTCATCCCCATTCACTTATTTTATTTTTTATTTTTTGAGATGGAGTTGTACTCTTGTCTCACAGGCTGGATGATAATGGCATGATCTCAGCTCACTGCAACCTCTGCCTCCTGAGTTTAAGAGATTCTCCTGCCCCAGACTCCCCAGTAGCTGCAATTACAGGCACAAGCCACCATACCCTGCTAATTTTTATATTTTTAGTAGAGACAGGGTTTCACCATGTTGGACAGGCTGATCTCAAACTCCTGACTTCAAATGATCTGCCTTCCATGGCCTCCCAAAGTGCTTGGGTTACAGGCATGAGCCACTGAGCCCGGCCCCCGTTCACTTCTTTCTCAGTTCTATTTAATGATTGACCTGGCACAATTACTTGTGGATGTGTAGAGGACATAGGTAATAAACTGGGCACACCAGTTGTGTTTTAGCAAGAAAAAAAGGCGGCCTCACTCATACTCCCCACTTTCATAAAAGTTTTTTTTTTTTTTAAAAACCATCCTTTCCCAATACCGATTATCTAATGCATTTCAACACTCATCAATCTGCAGAAAGAACATATTAAGGAACCAACCCACATACATGCAATTCCTCATCCATCAACCTTGTTACATCCACCAAACCAACCAATCAATAAACCAGAACCAGAGAGTACTCTCAATGTAAGTGCAAGATGATCAATGAAGGCCACAGGGCTGACAGTAGCGTCTCCATCCTCCTTGTGATTTAGGAACTTAACATGCTTTCTCTCTTCAACTAAACATAAATAGATCAAAAGATCACCTTTATTATGAGGCAGTGTGCCCCAAGGGTCAGATGATGGGTTCAGCAGTAAGTGCTTCTATGGTCCAGAGGGAAAGATTATAGATTGGTGTGTTTAGAAGATACTATGTGAAGAAGAAAGTATCGAAACAAGGTCTTGAAAGATGAGCAAGTAGAGAAATACCATGTGCTTTTCCACCAAAGGGGTTGGTGATTTCTAATGCTGCGACTAACCAAGGGAAACAACAGCCCTGAATGAAACTCAAATATCTTCCGTGAACTCTTAGAAGTTATGCTAAAATGAGCCTTTGATTATTGCCTTCAGTACTTAGGGTCTAGAGTAAGGTATTCTCAGTGACTTATTAAGATTGGCTTTTCAGAGTTAAAATGAATCAACACATGACTGAACAAAAATTTAGATAAACAAAGCCACATAAAGAAAAGAGGAGGGTTCCCAGGCTATCAACTCTTGTCTGCAACCTCTCTGAACTCATGCACACATCTAACGAGAGAAAATATATTTGCCATAGGAATTCCTGGTGAGCCACAAAAGACTGGAGCCCACTAACAGAGGCAAGACCCAGTGATGCTTAATTACAAAGGCTCCAGGCAAAGAGGCAACTTCAGAATCAACAGTCTTTGTGGGCAGGGCGCAATGGCTCATGCCTATAATCCCAACACTTTGGGAGGCCAAGGCGGGTGGATCACTTTAGGTCAGGTGTTCAAGACCAGACTGGCCAACTTGGTGAAACTCAGTCTCTACTAAAAACACACACAAAAATTAGCTGGGCATGGTGGCTTATGCCTGTAATTCCAACACTTTGGGAGGCCAAGACAAGTGGATCACTTGAGGTCAGAAGTTCAAGACCAGCCTGGCCAAAATGGTGAAACCTCGTCTCTACTAAAAAAAAAATAAATAAAAATTAATTAATTAATTAATTGGGTATGGTGGCGCACACCTGTAATCCTAGCTACTAGGGAGGCTGAAGCAGAATTGATTGAACTTGGGAGGTGGAGGCTGCAGTGAGCCAAGATCGTGCCACTGAACTCCAGTCTGGGCAACAGAGTGAGACTCTGCCTCAAAAAATAAACAAACAAACAAACATAAAAAAATAAGTCTTTGTGGATTCCAACATTAAGAAGAGACCTTTCCATGCTGGAGATGAGGCAGGCTTGCTGCCAATAAATTTTGAACATTCTTGGTCTCTTGCAACACAGCTGTTCTCGGTTTGATCCTGTTAAATGCTAGATTTCATTGGTCCTGATTCCTGTGTATAACTTGTGCTTATTGTTTATCATGGAGAGGATGCACTGGTTCCTCATAATTTCCCTGTGAACTGACACACTGTATTAGCATTCTGAGGTCAAATAGCATTGGGAGAAAGAATACTGTGAGTCTGCCCAAAAAAGGCAATTCTCAGACCACAACTTAACACTATTCAAGTTTCTGAGTCTGTAAGGTACATGAGACAAGGTAAAGAATGTCATCCTCATGTGGCTGAACCCTAAAATACTGACAAATTTCAGTCTAGTGGCATACATGAAGAAGCTAAGACCATGACTCAGGTTCCTTATTAACAAATTGATAACAATAATTGCACCTACGTTATAGAAATGTTGTGAGGATTCATAGTTTCTGGCACTTAGGAAACACTACATAAGTGTTTGCAGTGATGATTATCATTAGTACTTTCACAATCAGCATGTTTGTCACTTGAGAAAAGACTGCTAGAATGATTATGCCCACTTACTCCACTACCCGCTACCAATGACCCAGATCCGGGGAAATGAGAATCTCCTGTTTATCAGCCTTTGTGTGGTCCAGGGAAGATGCATCCCACTCCATGAAGTCAGCCAATAAGGGGCCAACACCCGGCAAAGGACCTACGGGCTGAGGATCCAGAGTGACCCTGGGGCTCCAAGCCTCAAGGGGAAACTCACCACATAGAGCTTTCGCCAGATGACAGCCCATTCTCGCAGAGTGGAAGTAAGCTCCTGCACCAGGGGGAGCTCACCAGGAATCACGGTTTCGTGCTGCCTACAAAGAACCAAACGAGGGTCACATTACCCTAGGCTGACTGGCACTGCTTTACTTGATAGGGATCAGACTCCTTAACACACAAGGATGAGAAGAAAGCTATTTGGGCATGGGGTCAGGAGTTGTGTAGGGGTCTTTATCACATCCAAGCATCTGGGCGAGGAGGAGGAGAACAAGACAGCACAGTCCTCAAAATAGGCTCAGTTCCTACAACTGAATCCCAAACTCGACCTCCCCAATTTGGATTTCTCTAGGAGGCTCAATTACTGAGCCAGGCTGGCTTCAGCAATTCTCAGATGGAAGCAAAATATGCAGCATTTTAGCTGGTTCCACCAAACAGCTGTTTCATTTGGGAGGCTGTGTGGGGAGGTATGTGTGGCACAAGTGTCCTGGGGCTGTGACTCCACCCAGGACCTGCTTAGGGCAGGGGCCAGGGTGGAAGTTGGGGATGCAGAGGCAGCACCCCTTTCTGGAATAGTCCCATGTTTTCTTCTTATCTGCAGTTTCACAACATAGAAAACGTACACTTAACAAACTCCTCGCTTATTCACAGAAGACTCACATAAAGGTAGGTACTACATTTATTCACATAAATCCTCTCTGGCATTTTTATGACTAGTAAAAAGAAAAAGGGAGAAAGCAAGAGCAAGCAAACAAATGGGAATTGGCGGTAGGGCTGCCAGACTTAATGAGGAGGAATACAGGAGGCCCAGTTAAGTTTGAATTTCTGGTAAAGTAAGAAGATTTCTTTAGAATTAGTGTAGCTTATGAAATATCTGGGAAATGCTTACCATGAAAAATTACTATTTGAATTGCAAATGTAACGAGCATGCTGTACAACCCTAATGGGTGTGAATGTGCCTCCCCACCTGCATTTCCAGTAACATGGCTGGTGGCAGTGCAGGGTGCCCATGGCCCAGTGGAAAGAGGACTTCTCCAGCAGGGCAGGAGACCTGGTTTTTGCTCTTGGTTTTGCCACCAAAGAGCTGTATGGCTTTGAGGACATCTTGGCCACTTGTCTATGAAATGATAGTGCTGCCATTTCTTGTTCCCTGTGCTGTGTCTAGGAGTCTGGAGCGACAAAGACCTCTGTGTTTGTAGGCGGGTCCTTCCTCCTTTTTTTTTTTTACTGTTTGGGATTCTTTGGGACTTGACCCAGCAACAGTTTGAATGTGTTCTGATGACTGGTTATTAGTCAGAATGAAAATAAGGCCCTTCGATAACAACACGGAAACCAGAATTGGCAACATACACCTGGGAGATAACCGTTCTGTAACAAGACTGTTCTCACTTAACTACGAGTTTTCCTATCCTGTCACTTCTTGTAGAATCAAGAAAATTATGTTCTAAAAAAATGGTGTCACCATATTATCAGAGATCAGTTACAGACCACTGATGCATACTGCCTATGAGTTTGCAGGGGTGTGCTTTGTGAAGAGGCTTAACTTCCCATCTGTGATGCATTTTGCAATGAGTGGGTATGAGGCAACACCTTGAAAGCTATTACTCAAAAAACAAAAAGACAGGAGCATCGGTGCCCACACGAAGTAAAACATGTGAACTTAATTTTAGCAGTGTTAATACGGAGCAACTATCCATGAGTCACTGCATCAGTAATGCCTGTGTTAATAGCATCCTCTCCTCCCTACAGCACAGCAGCAAGTGGTACATGCTTGTCTGAGAACCAGGTTCATCAATTCTGTTGTTGTATCAGTCCAAAGATGAGTAACAATTTCTGTACCAGTCTCACTACCTTTTGGAGTTTTGGAAAACATATCTATATCGTGACAGTTACACTTTTTAATGAGTTAATTTTAAATGAAATTGCCATTCTAACTTTATGAAATCAACTTCATATATAATAAAGCTTGCCCATACTCAAAAAAAAAAAAAAAAGTAAAGAAAAGAAATGATGGTGCTGAACTATGGTGGGAACGCTCTTTCTAGCTGCGAGGCTGCGTGTCCCTGTGACCCAGCTGTCCATTCTCTCCTCAGCCCCACTCTATCAGCCCCAGGGTCCCAGTCCTACTCCAGCCTCTCCTTACTGTCTCCAGAACTCTCCTGTCCAGAGACTCACTACCACCTAAGTGACCTCTCTCTCCCAATGAGACTAAACAGCTCACTCTTCTTAGCTGCCACAGAGGCAGTACTTCCCAGGACAAATGAGGTGGGCAAGAAACATGAAGACCCAAAATGTAGCAGATAGTGTCTGCAGAACACATGTGCATACGTTGCCTCATTCGAATCTCATGACAAGCTCATGATCAAAGTAGGGCCAGATTGTTTTCCCCTAATATGCTGTGAAAAATCCAAAATACACTTCAGGCTAAATGATTCATCCAAGGCTCAGAGCCGGTAAGTGCAGGCTGTCACTTAATCATCTATCTTTCAAAGATCCTAAAGTGGGGGCTTCTCAGATCTTATCAGGCAGAGTACCAAATGTTCATGTGTGCAAACACACACACAAACATACACAAAATCAGTGAACAGGTAATAAATATAATATACAGGCAAAAACCCTTGGTTTACTACTTCTGCTTTTAGTATTCTGGAAAAGTAATGCAAAGGAGGAACAATTATAGAAAGAGAAGACAGAGGAAGGAATTATATCAATTAAAAGTTTTTCTTCATTTATCTCTCATAGAACTGATGAGAAATTTTTTTTTTTTTTTTTTTTTAGACAGAGTCTCACTCTGTCACCCAGGCTGGAGTCTAGTGGTGCAATCTCAGCTTACTGCAAGCTCTACCTCCTAGGTTCAGGCAATTCTCCTGCCTCAGCCTCCCCAGTAGCTGGTATTATAGGCACCCACCACCATCCCTGGCTAATATTTGTATTTTTAGTAGAGATGGGGTTTCACCATGTTGGCCAGACTGGTTTTGAACTCCTGACCTCAAATGATCTGCTCACCTCGGCCTCCCAAAGTGCTGGGATTACAGGCGTGAGTCACCGTGCCCGGCCTGAGATAAGAAAACTATTAACATACATAAGGCACTAATGTCTTAAGATGATCATTAATGATAATCTTACATCTTCATCATTTCTGAGAGTCTTCCTAGGTTGGAACTTACCCCAGGTCTTCCACAGTTGCCTCTTTCAAATGGATATACGTTTCAGGGAAAATGCCCTACAGAGAGAAGAACTTTGGTTAGATGGCCATAAAAACAAAACAAAACAAAAACAAAAAACCACCTTAGCACAAAGTAAAGATAATGAATGACAGTAAGAATGAATGAGAATACCTGGGCAATAGCTAAATTCCTGACATCAGGTTTGTAGGACTTCACTGATGTTGACTGGCTACCTCAACAAAAGCATGGTGGAAACACCAAATAGTAGAAATTAAAATTTGGGTTCAGAGAGCATAGGATATTTTGTGAATGAAGAGACAAACATGCTGTGTCAGCTCAGAGATACCATAATGGGAAAGAGTGTAACTGTGAGCTCCTAAACCCCTCAGATGCTACTTGCCATGAGATGCTTCCCGTAAGGGTTTCACATAAGGGGTGACGTGGAAGCTATGCAGGATTTAGTAGCCCATAAAATAAGTCATCACTCAGAATACGTAAGGGATTGGTTCCAGGAACTCCCTTCCACAGAGCATATACCCAAATCCACACATTCTTGAGTGTGGCACGCAGCCCCGTACAACCCGCATGTACTTTTACACAGGTGTCATGTCCCAAGCATATTGTAACTTTGATCTGCATTTGGCTAAAAAATAAAATCCATGTGTAAGTGCTGTACAGTTCAAATCCACATTTTTCAGGAGTCAACTACATAGTAATTTTTCTAAAGTAATTCCTCTCAGCACTCCCACTTAAACCAAATGCACTCAAAAATCAATGAGTATTAGTTACCTGGTTATTTTTTAGCACCTCACAGTCTCAAACTGCTCTCCATTCTATATCCCTAAGAGGCAATTCTATATCAGTATTGCAACACTGCCCCTGGGGAAGACTTAGGCATGGAAAGATCTAAGAGAAAGAGGAGAAACTGATGGGTAACAATCGGAGAACGGAGGATCAGATCTAACCAACAGAAAGCAAGTCCCAGATGTCACTGTTCTTATGCATGTCAAAGCTTCCGCTGTTTACTGTGTGATATGCTCATGTACAGACAGAGGAGATGCCTTCTGGAGATGGCGCTGCTGCTCTGTTTCATGGTAACTTATATGCAACTTATAGTTGGCATTGCTGGCGAATTGCTTCCCAGCCCTACTCCTGGAAGAGTTGGTGTGAACTCCATGAACATGACATGTCAGGGTTGGCTGATCATAAAGGTGGGACGGAAGCATATATACCCATTGATCCTTACTCCACTCAGACAGGAAACCAGTGAACATTGACGGGGTTGTTCTTGTGTCCAGTTGCATGTGCTATATTTGTCTGTACAATACTTTGCTTTTTCTCTTTTAATCCTTTGCCAGTAAAACAGGAAACAGCAAGAACATTTGAGATTAAGCTGCTCCTTGCATTGGTGATGACAGAGTAGATCCTGCACGTGCTTTCCCACCAGACACAAAGCCCCAAAATAAAAAGTGCATTCCTTCTCCTCCTCGCTTTAAGGAGGAGGCAGACGTGGGGCATGTGAGTGAGAAAGCTTGATTCCAATCCTGTTACTGATGAGACCAAGAACACACACAGACGCAAGGTGACAATGACCTCTTTCACTATGGGGGTGGAATTCGGAAGCATTTTGGAAAACGGTTCGAATAATTGAAAACAGAAATTAAATGTGTGTGTGATTCCTCTGGGGCCTGATTTCTGCAGTTCTGAAACTCTAGGCCTGTCCCTAGGATCCCTAAGGAACTCTGGGTGTTTCTTCTGCCTGCTGTGCCACTGCACCACGGTAAATGATTTGTCGACTATCATGTCTGTGGGAACCCAAACTGGGATGTTGGGAATAAGCCAGTCACAAAGGACAAATACTGTATGGCTCCACTTATACCTGGAGTAGTCAAATTCATAAAGACAGAAAGTACAATGGGGCTTCATAGGGACTTGGGGGAGGGACAATGGGTAGTTAGTATCTAAAGGGGACAGAATTTTAGTTTGGAAAGATGAAACACTTCTGGAGATGGATGGCGTTGATGGTTGTACAACAATGAGAATGTACTTAGTGTCACTGAAATGCACACTTAAAAATGGTTAAGATGGTAAATTTTATGTTATATATATTTTTACCACCATAAAAAGTTTAAAACTCATAAAAAAGCAGGGGCGGTGGTGGGGTGCTGGGTAGGGATGAACTGCTTAGTTACGAGGATCCATATCTGGAAGTCAAAAGTAGAATGTAACATTGCTACTACAAAGGAACATCCTTGCTGAAGGTTTTTCAAATTAGAAGGTAAAGGACCAATTAAAATTTTCATGCATTCACAACCTGGTGTCGAGTCCTTCCTAATAAGTGGAAAACATTCCAGATAGACGTATTCAGAAAAAATAAATGCATACTGATGAATTTTGTGGCATCTAAGCAGATCATAAGCAGATACTTTATACTGGGTGTTCAGACATGATGATTTTCATATTAAGAGAATATTTAAGGCAGGGCACAGTGGATCATGCCTGTAATTCTAGCACTTTAGGAGGCCAAGACAAGAGGATCGCTTGAGCCCAAGAGTTCAAGACCAGCCTGGGAAACAAACTGAGACACCATCTCTACAAAAAACCTAAAAAAAAATTAGCACAGCATGGTGGCACATGCCAATGGTCCCAGCTACACTGGAGGCTAAGAGAGGAGGACTGCTTGAGCCCCGGAGGCCAAGGCTTCAGTGAACCATGATTACGCCACTGTACACCAGTCTGGGCAACAGACCAAGATCCTATCTCAAATATATATGTATGTATGTATGTATGTATGCATGTATGTATGTATACATGCATGTGTATATTCGTTATATTGCCACTCTGTCATCTGTAGGTTTCACCCTTCCATGATGACACCTGGCCATTTACAGTCATAGAATTGCTCTGGTAAACCTGATGCTTACAGAACATAAAGGATATATACAGAAAGTCAGAGTAAACCTAGGTCATGTGTTTCTGATTTACAGCCTAGCTCTCAATTCTGCTTTTCCTTCCTCAATGCAACCCACTCACTTGAGTGGAAAAATACACTAATGATTTTCTAGATGTTGGCCTTATCCACACTCCCACAATTCCACCAGGATCAATAATCAGTTTCAGAAAAGCACTTGGCTTCTTCAATTTGTAAAACCACTGGCTCCTTTCATCATCACTCTAAATGGCTGGGTCAGCTTATAAATGACACCAAGAATTTCCATTAAATCAATAGGCCTTTCAAGTAGCTCCTCCCCCTACAGACGGAGAAATGAGGGATTATTTATTGTTTTTAGGCATTAGAAGAGCATTTTTAATGAGCTGATCTCTTAATGAAAGGGTGTCAAAAGCAGAGCAGAATTCATGGCAACTGATTTTGAATTCCCATATTTTCCCTGGATCTCTCCACAAGAAGGATATTTTAACTTAAAACAATCATCAATTCCATTGAATTACAAAGTTTTCCTTTACTTATCAAGAGAACAAAGAGAAACTCTTACTGAAAGATTTCTTCTAAAGGGTGAGATTTTAAGCTCAAAGGTTTTAAGAACTCTTTAATGAACATGAAAAAATTAAAAACATCCAGAATGTATCATTTAGCTCCCAGTGGGGCACCCTATCTACTGTTCAAAGCTGACAACAATGGCACTATTAGCTGGATTGATTTTTATATGCACCAGGCCCTCCATATCATAGGTTCAACCAACTGATGGTGGAAAATACAGGGGAAAAACAGTAAAAGGAGGTTTATTTCCTTGTCATTATTCCCTAAACAATACAGCATAATTACATAGCATTTACATTGTATTAGGTATTACACGTAATCTAGACATGATTTAAAGTACACGGGAGGATGCACAGAGGTTATATGCCAATACTTTGCCATTTTATGTCAGGGACTTGAGCATCCATGGATTTTGTTATTGTGGGGGTCCTGGAACCAAACCCCTGTGGAAATGAGAAACGACTGTATTAGAATATCATAGGATGCTTCAGAAAGTAAGGTCTTCCATGTTTAAAATGATCCTTACATACTGCAGAGTCTATGAAAAGGAAGACCTGATCTAGGACCTTGGTTGAACATAATTGACATTTCCCAGTGAAAAATCAAGGATTTTGTTTGTTCCTTAAGTTCATCACATAATTTTGAGAATGGCTTTTTGTTTAATGCTTTTAAATTAACATTAAAAAAAAAAAGAATTGGGAACTGACATAAGTATTCTTACTGTTTAACAAATGCAGAACATCAAAGCTGCTAACTCTAATTGTGCTTTGAAATAACTACCACTTCCATAACTATGAGTAAAATGAACACCAATAGGGCTAAAAAGCAGGAGTGGCCATAGTCAAGTACTCTGTGTCACTGAGGATCCCAGAAGAAAGGTTTTCACTCTAATTCTATCATGCTCTCATTCACTCTGCCATGACTACACTCTTGACCCCTATTTGATGGCCCAAAGAAACTGAAGTCAGTAAGAGATTAAATTAAAATAATTTGGTTTGAAATAAAGACATGTGGTATATGAATCTAACTGTGGGTAGAAAAATTCATTTTCTGGTTTGGGGAGAGAAAAAAGGACCAAAATTGTAGGAGATACATTAAAAGCAAACATTCCTTTATTTTGCTAGATTCGTAAGCTGTCAAAGTTAACAAAATGTGTATGTGTACACATACATGTGCAAATGCTGAGTGTGATTTAAGCATCAGCAATGCAGAAGCAGTCCTGGTGTTTTATGAACGATACCACGTAGAACGGTGTCTTCCTGGGCCCCATACCCTTTGGAGAGTTGGGTGTGTAACATCGGCCCGTGGTGCACGATCTTTCTCCTGCTGTCTGTGAAGAGTAAGAACTGTGGGTCTGGCTTTCTTTTTTCACTCCTCTTTTGATAAATTCTAAAACGTTTCCCTTATCTCTTTCCTAATTTGCTATTTGGCATGTGAACTAATTGTGAAATAATAAGGCCCTATCAACTCTGCATTTTCAAAAGAAACTGCTGACATGTCATGCTGCCCCAGCGAGCAGTGTCAAAGGAACAGTGCTGACAAGACCTAAAAGAAACTTAGGGGGATATTAACATAATTAATAGAGTCTCTTTAGCCTGACGATTAGGAGTTTTGGCACTGGCAGAAGGAACCATTTAGGTCAGTATTTTTCAAACTGTGCCTCTGGTGAACACTAATTTTTATGGCAACCGGTATTACATATGAAATACACAAAATATAATAAAAACAACAAATAAAAGTATATATATATAACAAAAGTTTCATGAAACAATACTTACCATTGCATCTTATGTTCTCTACTTTTTGGTTTCATTTTTTAGAAAAAAAATTGGCTCTAATCCGCCATATTGATTTCATAATGTATTATTGGGGTATGAGGCTCACAGTATGAAAACCACTCTTGTTTATCCAATGTACAATGAAGGAAAGGATCACGTGGAAATGGGGAGATACTTTAGTTTGGAATTTCAGCATTGGAAGTAAAGGATGAAGGGAGAAGCATCCGTCCATCCCTCCCGGAAACAGAGATCCCACTAGAGCAATGAATGTGTTTCCAACTTGCTTAATTTGAGGGACAGGAAGCAAGAAGTCTTCCAGGACTTTCTCCTTGAATTGGCTGGTGAGAAATACAGTCAGTGGGGTTTACACTATTAAATTTAAGCACCGAGGTCAAAGAATTTGCTTTCAAATCCAAGGAAGAGCCATCAAAGAGAAAGCAAACTAGGTCTAGAGACAGCAGAGGCCAGAGGAGCGAATTGGATAGCACAATACAAAACTAGCAGACAGATTTCAAATGAAATAAAAAGTGGATGATACGTCATACCTTTTTAGATTTATTTTGGAGAGTATATCCTCTGTACCAACCTGTCAGAGCAAAAGAGAACACAAAATATTTTATGTTTTCTGGGATATCATAAAGGTATTAGCAATATACATTCTCGTGTTCTATTAGCAATACTGGAATGCAACAATTGATACTGGAATGCAACAATTAATAGAGACAACAGATAGTATGTTAGAAGATGAATGTTTTAGTTTGTTACACAATAATAATTGAACTGTATTTCAGAGCTGCATTCTCTTAATAACAATTGGATTAAAATTCACTTAGAACCTAGCCTCATCTCTACTCCATGGGAGGAAGAACAGAACAACAATAAAAAACCAAGACAGCCCGTTTCTTATCACCTTAATACCTTACAGTCATTTAGTAAATGTTTTTGCATGAATATATATGAACTTTCATTGTATACATGCTTTCTATATGTCACCTTATGCTATTAAAACAGATATTAAATAATTTATATTTGCTGTAACTCTTCTGAGTTCCCAGGTTAAGAACCGCAATTCTGGAACAATTTTAAATTGAACTAGCAAACCTTCTGAAGACAAATATTTGCACTTCAAAAATAATCAAAATAATGAAAGAATAAAACGAAATTGTGTGCAATTCTGGGTAATGCTAAAAGCAACCCCCCTCAATAAAAAGACCTTATCTGTTTGCTTGCTGAGGCTTTAGGTAAAGGCTTTAAGTTTGTTTTTAAAATTCCAATAAAGGCACACACCCCTACAGATGTTTTCCAACCCTCTATCTTGTAGAGAGAGTATACAATTTAATCTGTCCATTAACAGATTTTTATATTAAGTATTTGCTGAACACCTACTATACAAAGTTCACTGTAATAATTTCTCTCATTCCCCATGCCCATCAACAAGCATCGATGTGGTCATCTTGCCCAGGTAAGCCTCGTGGTATTGGGCTGGTGCAAAAGTAACTGCTTTTTTTGCACTGAAAGCAATGGCACACGTATAAGGTAACCCTATACACACAATGAGTAAGATGCAAACTGTAATTAAAACTTCAGGCATCTGCCAATAGGATCCTAGAACTCTCTTGTAATTTGTTCTACGTGAAATCAACCAGAAAATAGACACATGCTCTATTTTGTACATCTTACAGGCAAAAAACTGGATTTACCTTCTTTGGGTGTATATTCTATAATATTTTCACAAATAATGTACAAGTAATATTTCACAAATATTCTAACTGTGGCATTCAGACATTGAAAGGGTTTGCTACATTTTACAGGGAGGTGTGGGGTACTATGCTGTGAAATTGTGGTTTGCATCAAAAAGACAAAAAGACGCTGAAACAGGAAATACTTCCCCCAATTTAGAATGCCAAGGTGTAAGAGATTTGGAAATAAGAAGGACACTAAGCTAAGCTAAGCATTGCCCCCAAGTGTGCACCTATCTGTATATACTTGCTTGGTTCTGTGAAAACATGAAAATGGCTTTTGCATGAATAAATGGCTTCAACTTCACCCTGGGACAAGGGCAAAGCGGGAGTGGGGCAGGCTGAGAAACAAGATATTCATCTTTTCCAAGCAGTTTTCATCATTCTATGCCCTATAAAGCCAAGTTGTCATAGTACAAACTTCATTCCCCTTTCACAGAAGAATTTATCTGTACTTCTGTAAATAGTATTTTGCACAGCCATTCATCACAGAATTATGCTTCCTAAACCTGTCATTGATGAAAACACGTTTTTTAATTTCCTATGTCTTCTCTAGAATTGTGGTGTGTGTATGTGCCCTATCTAAAGACACAAAATTATCATGCTGAATTTGTAAATGTGAATGTTCATTTTCCTTGCATCAGGTATAAGAGAACAGATCTATCTCTGGAGTTTTAAGCATATACTGTCAGGACTCCATAAATTCAATTTTAATAACTGTACAGAATATGGTAATAGTTCACGAGTATGTTTGCTCATTTCCACATTACAAACCTGGGTTGTCATACAAGCAAGAATGAAGTTTTCCAGTTAATCCCATGTGTTTACAGTAAGACGATTATAATTAAATATAGCATGCTATTAGGCTTAAGAAGGCATCATGCCAAGAGGTAGCAATGGGCATATCAATAGCTGCAATCAATGGGTAGTGTGAACTGGTCAGCAGGATCTCAGATGCTTTCTAAAGTTATTATACTACTAAAATAAAGGGGGTGGTAAGAGGATACTGAGTCCAGAGGGCTACCCTTGCCTACATTTAGGGGAAATGACAGTTGCAAAAACCAAGTTCATAGTAACCATGGCGAACACCAACTTATTCTATGCTGAGGGATGCTCTTTCGTGAGGTTCACGAGTGATTTCTGCTTTCTTGGGACTGCTCTAATCCAGAATAAAAATCTGTCCTCTCCAATTGAAAATAACAGAGAGTTGCTTATTCCACTGTCAAAATTACTTACTTTATATCTGGCTTCTCAAGTAATCTCCATCAGTCAGAACTCTTACCTGCTCCATTTCACTTCACCTATCCAAATGTCTCTCTGGCTCTTACACACTTTCTGTTCAACAGATTCCTTACCTGATTCTTCTCCTCACTACATGCAGACATTCTACAAATCTTTATTAAGCACTAATTAAGAACCATGATGTAGTGGAAAGCAAGAGTTCTCATAAAGATTATACTCTAATGTTAAAATACACACAGGTGGTTGGATACGGTGGCTCATGCCTGTAATCCCAGCATTTTGGGAGGCTGAGGCAGGCAGATCATGAGGTCAAGAGATCTAGACCATCCTGGCCAACATGTTGAAACACCGTCTCTACTAAAAATACAAAAATTAGCTGGGTGTGGGGGCATACGCCTGTAGTCCCAGCTACTTGGGAAGCTGAGGCAGAAGAATCACTTGAACCCAGAAGGTGGAGGTTGCAGTGAGCTGAGATTGTGCCACTGCACTCCAGCCTGGCGACAGAGTGATACTCTGTCTAAAACAAAAAATAAAAACAAACAAACAAAAAAAACGTGAGTTGAGATAATGACAGTGCTAAGAGGAAGAAGTGAAAAGTGGGCAAGGAAAGTAACATGGCAGACAATGGTTATATCATGGAACATTATTTTAGATATGGTGATCAAGGACAGATTACCCTAAGAAGCTAAAAGAAATGAGACATTAACAGAGCTGGGCAAAGAAACTTGCGGACAGAAACAAATCAAGTGAGGAAGCTATAAGGAAAGAGTAAGCTGACTTCAAAGAGAGAAGAAAACTCTCATTACCAGAGTTCAGTGCAAGAGACTGAAGTGAGGAGAGGCAATAAGAAGGTAGAGGAGGCATAGTTCTCAACCCTGGGCATCCATGAGACCCACCAGGGAACTTTTACAAATACTGATACCTAGGCTATACCACCAAATATTCTGATTTAACTGGATCGGGGTAAGGCCCAGACTTAATGCTTCTATAAGGGTCCCCTGGTGATGCTGATGTGTAGCCAAGATTAATTACCAGACATAGGTATTATAAGCCATGGAGAAATTCAAGTTTTATTCTAAGTACAGCAGGAAGCATTGGAGGGTTTCAAATGTCATCATGTCTTATGCTTCTTTTTTTTTTTAAGACAGTCTTGCTCTGTCACCCAGGCTGGAGTGCAGTGGTACAATCTTGGCTTACTGCAACCTCCTCCACCCAAATTCAAGCAATTCTCATGCTTCATCCTCCTAAGTAACTGGGATTAGAGAGGTGTGCCACCATGCCCAGCTAATTTTTTGTATTTTAAGCAGAGACAGGGTTTTGCCTGGTTGGGGAGGCTGGTCTTGAAATCCTGACCTCAACTGATCTGCCCACGTCAGCCTCCCAAAGTGCTGGGATTACAGGCGTGAGCCACTGTGCCTGGCCACCTTAAGCTTTTAAGAGCATCCTTGCTGCTATATGGGAATGTATTGTAGGATGTGAGGTGTAGTAGAAAGAGGAATACCAGGCCGGGTGCAGTGGCTCATGCTTGTAATCCCAGCACTTTGAGAGGCCAAGACAGGCAGATCATGAGGTCAGGAGTTCGAGACCAGCCTGGCCAACACGATGAAACCCCATCTCTACGAAAATATAAAAATTAGCCAGGTGTGGTGGTGGTCACCTGTAATCTCAGCTACTTGGGAGGCTGAGGCAGGAAAATTGCTTGAACCTGGGAGGTGGAGGTTGCAGTGAGCAGATATTGTGCCACTGTACTCCCGCCTGGGTGACAGAGAAAGACTTTATCTCAAAAAAAGAATGAAAAAAAAAGAGGAACACCAGAGAGGAGTGGTGGGTGCAGTGAAGAAGAGGAGGGATGAAAAAAAATGCAAGATATATATATATATATATATATATATATATATATACACACACACGTATATATTTGTGAGATTTTTTATTTTAATTTTTGTTTTTTCCTTGTGGCAGGGTCTCACTCTGTCACCCAGGCTGGAGCGCAGTGGCGCAATCCTGGCTCACTGCAACCTCGCCACCTTGGCTCAATAGATCCCACCTTAGCTCCCCCCGCCACCCCTCACAGCACATGCCACCACACCCATCTGATGTTTGCATTTTTTGTAGAGACAGCATCTCCCCACGTTGACAGGCTGGTCTCAGACTCCTTGGCTCAAGCGGTTCGCCTGCCTAGACCTCCCAAAGTGCTGGTATTATAGGCGTGAGCCACAGCACCAGGACGCATGATATACATGAATCAACAGGAGTTGCTCATGATTTTGCTGGAGATGGCCATGAATGGGGCAGGAAAGGCAAATTCTCAAAGGTATTTGTATCTTGGGCTTAAGCAAACAGGAGGAGAGTATTCTTTGGTATAGGAAGATTGAAGAAAGGAAAACCTTGGGAAATGGGAATCAGGACAGAATCAGGAGATGGATCTTGGCCCTTCTGTCCTCCCTCCTGGGCAGCTGAGTCCTGAGCCATGGGGTGAGGCAGGGTGACTTGGGCATTTGCAGTGGAGGAGGGCTGCACATCCCCAGAGGGGTCCGGACTGGCATGGCAGAGAATGAGGTGGGCATCCGTGTAAGGGAACAGATGGCGTGTCAGAGCCTAAGTG